GGGAAAGAGACCATCTCCAGTGTTGGATGACTGTTCTGGAGGTTATCTGAGTCAGCTCCAGTGCAGTCTGGCATGGCCCTCTTTTTTTTTCCTGAAGAAATGGGAATTTAGGAATAGTGGTATGGGATTTCACAAATAAAGGAGTGTAGACCTGGATTAATTTCAGATCAAGATAATTTGTGCTATATCTTTGAGTTTTTTCCATGGGAAATGATGGGCCTGTTTATCTTAGCATATTTTCTAACAATGGGTGTCCAACAGCATTAGGTGAATGCCATTTTAGCATATTTTAGCTACTAAACATATACCTGTAAGTAAAATGAACTTTCTTCTGTGCCATCGGATTCCAGTGTGGACCAAAACTACCTGTTGCTTTGCAGCTCCAGTTGGGAGTATGTTCTTCCATCCGAGATGCTCCTTCTCAACGTTGGATTCCAGAAGGAAAACTGGAAAACAGAGGGTCAGGACTACACAGTAATATCTGCCTTTCATACATGCTCTTTTTTTCCCTTTTCAGGAGTTGAGGCATATTTCCTGGGTGACAGTTTTTGTTTACCTCACTTCAGCAGTTTACCTCACCTCCAAACAGTTGTAGAATTGAGGAACTATTTTATCAACATTCACAATCCTTTCTGGATAACTGCCTTCCTTTTTCCTCTGCTTTCTGCAGTACCTCATCTTTTATCTGAAACTCCCCTCTACACTGCACACGTCAGAGCCTCCTTTGCTAGGCATTCTCACCTCTCTAAAAATATCCATGAACTTTTTATTCTTCTTAATGTTGTGTAGCAAGGAAACTTAGCTCTCAAGATCAGCAATCTCGTTCTTAGGTGCTCAGGAAATCAATGCACATATACTCCCTTGGATGCCTGTACCATATCTAGTGCTGCTCTGATTCACAGCCCTTCATACCCTGCACAAAAGAGAGAGAGATAATGAAAGAATTCAGCAGCCAAATCTCACTATTTTCCCCTTCTTCCTAAAAAGGTTAGCTATAAGAAAAACAGAAGGGTCCATTTTTGACAGAGCAACAAAGGGTTTTATGTGGCACTATCATCATCCTTGCTGTCAGACACATGTGTTGTTAGTCTGAGATGCTTTTTTGAATTTTTTATTATTTTTTAATCTTTTGTGCTAAATGAATAACAAAAATCTGGCACTGTTATAGAAATCTCCAAATCTCAGAGCAGTAAAACTGAGTTACAGTCTTCTAAATCAGTCACATTTTGTAATTTTATGGGAAAATAAATATCCATACTTTTCAGCACATTACACTTGTCATTCTCTTTTTCTTAAACAGGTCTAAAATAAATTAGACACTCTTCAACACTTTTCCACTCTGTCATTCAACAGTTAAGGCTATAGGAAAAAAAATATATACTCTTCTGCTGAATAGATAGATATTTAACAGATGTACGTTCATTTTAACCCATTTGAAGGGAACAGTACCATAAAACCTTTAGATATTTGGCAGTATTAATTTTTTTAGTGACACTAAAGTTAGCCACTGGAGTCATCATATTCTTGGATGAATGATAATCATTATAGTAGGACAATTCAAGACAAACATGTGTAATAAAATAGGCCAATTAAATCTGCAGGTTAATCCTGTGTAATGCATTTTCTGAAGGGCTGCTTTATTCCTAATTACTGTACCCGAAGGAACCAGGGCCTTGGGTCAATGGGACATCAGTTTATGCTAAAAGTTAAACACCTGCTTAAGCGCTCTCTTGAATTGGGACCTAAATTCTTATGATTATCTAATCTACTCTAATGCTGTCAGTTGTGACCAGGCAATGATCTCTTGTTTTAAACAAGTTGGAGATGATTTTCTTTTTTCATCTGATTTGCAAGTGCTGAAGGAGGAGCTCAGAAGGAGCTTCCTAAAGGTCAAATGAATATTTCTGAATGTTCCACAAATACTTCTCCGCTGCTTTTCCGTTTCTTCTGGTGAAGAGGCTTACTTTTTAAAGGAAATATAAAGACACTCTTAACTTGTGAAAAATCTGACTCAAGAGTACTTTGGTCAAGTAGAAATCAATGAGAATTAAAATATGCTAATTGATTATTTCCTGCAGGCAGGCAAAAGGATATGCCTGTAGTATTCCATTTACTACCAGCTAGCCAGGCATCAAAAACAATTGGAAGCCAGCATGATGAGCTAATTACTATTCATTTCCTCTATTTCTCATCAACCATTTGTCCAATTTCAATAAGCTGGATATTTATATTGAAGACCTATGCAATACAGAGATTTCAGTAGATATTCAATACTAAACTCCTTCCAGTGTTCCTAGTGAAACATGGTGAAACTTGTAGAGTGTCTAACTCCCTTCTTTGTTCATGTAAAAATGTATCTATATATCAGGTTTGAAACAGTTTGTGAACTTCCAGCTGCTAAAAACATGCTGGTATTTGCATTGCTGCAACTGAACCTATTTGAAAATATTTTTTAACATCTAGATTTTGCAAAAACAAGTATTGCACATGCCTCCCTACATGTTATTGCCCAAAGCATTGTTCACTGCAGAGCAACATTTTTATACTCTAGAGTGGGAGACCTATAGCGGGGGTGCCAGCCATAGAGCAGGGATGGTCATCCTTCAGCATGTGTACTACAAGTAGCATGGGTGTCCATGTGTGGCACAGAACAGATTGGGGAGCGGACCAGCAACAGAATGGCAATAGGGCAGGAAACAAAGCAGAGCAGGTAGAGAAAAGGGATCAGAGCGGTATTCAGGGAAGATACAGGGATAATTTGTGGCATGCCTGCCAAACAGGTTAGTCCCCACTGCCATAGAGCATCTTCATAGATTTGAAGCATGCAAGTAGGAGGAGTTGGTGGGATGAGCTTGGGAATATCTTTGCTGGGACATGCTCTCTCCATTAGCTAGGCATACCATAAGAGACCTAGGGCAAGATGATGCAGGAAGATTTGTGACAGAGCCAGGAACTGAACTCAAGTTCCCAAATTCCAGTGTAATGCTTCATTCATTAAACCATCCTTCTAGTTGTGCACTTGAGGCATACATTTTAGAGGTAGCTTAATACTCCGATTGACCTTTCACTGAGTTTTTGCTAAATCTGATTCATTGGACTCACACTAAAATCACTAAGTGAGGTATTATCTCCTAATAAATTTAGTCAGAACACACATTAAACACTTAAAATACATCTTATTTAATTAAAATTCATAATTGGCGACAATTAAATAAAGTTTCTTCACTCGATTTTTTTCCTTTTCAATTCAGCCTAACTATAGGTATAGCATCAAGTTGCCACTTTCCCTTTACATTTTTTGCAAAACATTTTTCCTTCTTATAGATTTTTTTAACATACTTTCACAAGAGGAAATGTAATGCAACCTTGGGGAAAGCATTTTGTTTTCTCTGTAAAAGAAAAATGAAGAGGGCTGCATCAAGAATTCAGTTCCCAGATCATACTGAAGAGCCATTCATTCAGATTGTGTCAAATCATGCACTACTTGCATTCTGGGTTACTCAGAAGATGACCCATAAGAACAGGGTGGTTCAGAACCTGAACATACTACTAGTTAGGATGGTTTGAAGTTTCCTGTGAGACTTAAAATTATCTCAGGTTCAGTGGATGTGGGCTGATGAAGCTTGTGAAGTCCACCACAGACCCTTTCACCAGCCATCCCACAGACTTAATTTTGGCCTTTCTTACCTACTGTACTGGTGCTGTGATTATCTACTGCTGACATGGGCATTTTTTGCAGTATGACATGTTTTTGTTAGCAGTCTTCATTGGATTTTCTGTGAACTGGTGATACCAGTGGTATTGCCAGGTAGAGGATGAAAATTATTTTGACCTTGCTTAGACCTGGTTTCTCCTTTTTAGGCTATACAGCCCTTTTTAAAAAATGATAAGCCCACCTTCATAATATTATCACTATTACCTTGTGGGATAATGCTCTGCTGTCAATCATCTTATGGTTTTCAGTTCAAGTCACCCACCCATCTAAGTTGTTAATTCTCTCTGACATTTTCCTCTATCTTTCTTCAAGAGATGAAAGAGTATATTGAAACATATTGTGCAGAGTCTCAAGGGCCATGTGTAGATGAAACAAGAGGCATGTTTGCGTGACACTTTAAAGCGGACTAAATGCTTATGAACCACTTTAATGGTGTCAGTGTTTGCACGCCTTGGCAGCATATTCCGCATTAATTCCAGCCACTGTAGGAAATTCAGCAGCATAATGCGC